TAAATTAAGTATGTACCCAGAATCTTAACTTTTGAACTTTCATTAAATGAGACATTACTAAATTCCCTTGATGTTTGATTATTAATGTTGTATATGACATAACAGGTGTACGAATTTAATGAATCTAATGTCCAATTTCTGAAAAGTCTGAAATGTGTGAGAAATTAGTATATAAATAGATCAATAAAATAATAAAAGCGATCTGTTTTATAAAAATTAAAAAAAAAGTTGATAATCCGCAACCGAAATATACCAAAACCAAAACATTATAAACACCGGGAAAATAAAAAAAAAACGTCTAAAGAATCCGCAATTGTAATGAAGACCAGGATATTAAGTCGTGATCCTTCAGTTTCAATTTCATTTATAGTCAATATTTTAAAAGTTCAGTTATTTGATAGAAATTAAAATAAATTGCAATACATACATGAAATTATACAAAAGGCCATAAGTTTAGGAAGTTGACAACATTTCTTTTAAAGGGGAAAAATAACCCTTGATATTAAGCCAGTTTTATATTTATTAATATGGAAAAATGCTAAACACATAACAATATGTGTCTCGTTCACAAGTTTTGACCCAATTTGTTTTTAATTGCTTTTAAATTTTCAATTACAAGGTTCTTTCAACTTGTACTAACATCAATGTTACTTGAAGTTACTAACTAAAACATATTTTTATACTTGAATCCAAAATAATTACGAGTACATTTGGAACAAAATCAATTCAAATTACCACAGTATAATAATACCGATCATTTCTAACGTCGTAATAATTTAGTATTTGTAACAATATAAACTACATATATTTGACAATCCCATAAAGGAATCCAAAGGTCATGTCTTTAAACATTTGTGACAATTTTTTTATTATGCATATATTATAGCGTAAGTAGTTAATAGAAGGTAGTTTTATTGCTCCCAACCACAATCAAATATTGAGGCGAGTGCGAAAGAGTTTAAACATGACTGCAGATATATAAGTTTGTAAGTTTCCGATTAAAGTGGAATCTACGCTTTTAATATCCGGATGAAACTAGCGTTCCGGAAACGTTGAAGCGGATTTATAGCCTTTCCAGCGATGGGGTGGAAAGATTTTTTTTCGCATGAGATACTGGTTGAAAAAATCATGGTTTCTATATTAAAAAACACTGTTAAAATTAAGGGGATGTTATACTAACTCACTGAAAGATTAGACGGGGATTTTCAATATTTATCAAACGTATAATATTCATGTCACGTATAATATGGGTAATATGTAGGCTTCAGACCTCCGTCTGCATACAATGTGAAATTCCAGGCATTTTTCGTGAGAGCTGAAAATGGCTGAGGCCCGAGCTGGCGAGTCTGGATATTGTGTTTTGATAGGCATACCAATCATTATACTGTCCTATCGAAACCGATATTTCATAGAAATGCGGAGCATGTAAATTCCCCCATTTATTGCAAATTTCTATAGTGCATTGAGGGCAGACCTGTTTCTCTCGATATATTTTTTTAACGTTAACCAAAGGGCGTTCACGTCGGGACTGGCAGATTTGGAATATATATTTCGGCACAAGAAGGGGAGTGTAAAACAAATCCGAATTAAATTTTACCGATAACAAGGTCGCGTTTTCTCCCTCGCCCATCGATTGTCGTTTGATTCCAGGATGTCTCAATTATTTTCGTTTCTATAAGGAAACGTCGTAGCTTTAATTGGATATTAATTCAATCGCATTGGTTTTCTTTTTGTTGTTTCGTTATCTTCGTCGCCCTGCAAGTAGTTCGTGTTGCCCAGCTAATTAAATTCCCCACGCTTCCATAAACACACAAATGAAATTTGATTAATCTGCTGCGCCACTGTAACTTGCAGTGACCGTTCTTAATTTACTAAAATCCGACTCCCTTCAATTGGAGCAATATTCAGTTTCAAAGAAATTTAACGCGCTGACGCCTTTATATTGTTGCAATTAAAGTCACTAGGAACTAATAATAATTTATATAAACTTCTAATGTTCAAACTACGCCGCCATCTACTGCTTGTTCTCGACCCGTCTCACCTTTACAAGTTGGCAGTGTGATGAGGCGACGTTTTCAGCAGACAGAGCTAAGCCCAGCTCGCTTCTTACAATATTACAACGTCTAGTTGTAATTGCGATTATTTTATAATTAATTTTTTACATTGTTCTTCAGGAAGGAAGAGATACATATCATATACACAGACCTCTTTAAGGGTCTATCCTGGAACCCCTCTACTTTGTTGGGTTTATTGGAAGGATGCGGATTGTCCATATTATAAACTTTACTTTTTTTCAAATCCTAATCCCACTTGATATTCCTCAAGAATCTCGTTTAGACCCGTTGTTTTTCAACCTATTAAGTAACGAGATTAGCTCTTATTTCTTACATTCCTTATTTCTTCTCTTTTGCTGATGACTTAAAGTTATTCATAAAAGTTGCATTGTAGGACGATCTTGACATGTTCACCCTACGGTGTCGAGCCAATGGCCTGCATCTCAAAGTGTTGAAGCTACTAAATTCAATTTGACCAGAGTTTTCAATAACATATTTCGTTCTATATTGATATTGTAATTAGGATGCTTGGATTTGTGAAATGCAATACTAGAAATTTTGTCATTTTCCACTCCATGAAAACTGTAAATTTCTTATTTGTTGTTTCACATGTTTCATTGTCTAAGTAAGCACCAAAAAATTGATTGTCCATATCTAAGATGGCTTCACACGCCCCACCCCACAATACCCGCACCACTCAAACTTTTAGTGAGCAATTTGACAGAAACCAGTATGCATTTTACTCACTCATTCCACGTACCAGTAGATTATGTAGTACGTTAGATAAACTCTTTTGATCCCAACCCAATTGTATTATGTGAAAAATTTATTGTGTGCATCCTCGGAAATATTGCGATAAAAGTAAAATTTTCCTTTTCAGGTATAATTTCTTAACAAGTCTATTTTAAAATTTAAAAGTCTTTTTTTTAATTTGTGAAACGCAATGTGGCGTTAATAAGAAAAATTAAATTTTAAGAAAAAGGAAGCTTAGTAAACGGTTTTTAACTTCAAGAAAAGAGAACTTAAAAGCGTTTTATTAGCAGATTGTCAAACTGGCGAGTAATTAAACCAGAAAATGAAAATTTTAGTTTTTCAACTTTATTTTGGAGCTAGGCAACTTTACTGTAATTACTCTAATCGTTTCTGAATTGGAAATACCATAAATTAAAGAAATAGCAAAATCCAAATTAACCAATGTTTTGTTGACATTTTAATTTTTATTATTATATTATTCTAAAATTTTGTAAAGTTTCAGAACAAAAATAACAGTGGTACCAGAGTTGGCATACCGCTGATGGTGAAAGAAAGTTAGTGAAGAAGATTGCTCTGCAGTGTTGCCGTCTGTCAATCAACTTTTGAGATACATAGCTGCTTTCATCTACCTTTGATGTAGTAAGGAAATTGTGCCCACAGATTAATACTGAAGATGAAAAAAAGAATGAGTTTGTGATATTGGATTGAAGTCATATTATATTAAATTGTTAAGAATAAATGATTGGGCTTAATTGTATACGTTCGCGGTACCGCCACCTGTTGAAACTCTCTTAAAAATGCAAAAGAGTGAAATAAAATTGAAACCAAATTTTGTGTATTTATTGAACAGAGACTGAGAAAGAAACTATAAACTCTTGAAAGAGCGAACGCACGTTCGATGCTTCCACTTGAACGACTATTTTGTTTTAGTGAAAATATTTACCCTAAAATTGAAGCCAAATCGCACACAAAGCGAACTTCTAAAATGAATAATATCCATCTAAATTATTTTAACAAATTAAAAAAAATAAAAATTTCCATAAAATTCTTTCAATTTTTAAGTGATATAATTTGTTATAATTTTATTTAAGTTGAATGATTAAATCAAGTATTTTTAAGTAATCTATCGATAACCTCAATTAGCCACATTTTTATCTTAGGAATAAATTAATTTTCTGAATGAAGTGACACGAAATTCACAAAAGCATCTAATCGCACAACCTTGTTAATATAATCAAGAATCGCTGATATACGGTTCTTTATCAAGGAAGCAGATGAGATCAGTAGCGAAGTAAGTGCCTAGTGCTTGGGTTTTTAGTCAATTTCATTGTTGTAAGGATTACATCTATAAAATCATTATATTATCCCTTTTCGTAACAAAACGCGTTCAAGAGGAAATTGGCCAAAAGTATTGAAGATAATTTAAAAAGCACACAATAAGTATAATGCCGTAGCTTTTCGAATAAATCGACCCCCTTCATATATATTTTTCTTGCATCTTCCAGTTCCGGCTACAATAGGATCAAAAGATCACCTGCCTCGTATAGGCGGTCTCCATGACGACAGAATGTAAATCCTCAGGATGTTGAATGAAAAAAATGTTTTGTTTGGGTTAATCACTTTTTCTAACTCGGTGAACCGTTGCAATTTAATCGATTACATTTGGAATGAAAAGTTTTCAATTATAATATCGAAGCAAAGAAAAACAACTCCAAATATTTGTAGCTGGATATGATTAATGGTTGTTTCTACTACCTCAATGAAATCCTGAGAATATGTAACAACTTCTTTATGATTGATGTTTTAGTAGGACAATTCCTTCATAGATTTCGAAAAAGGAATTCCTATATAGGCAACTACTCATGAAATGATGGAATGTTATCTAAAAGTACTTCTGTACTTTGAATATTACGTCAGCATACTCTGCTCCCGGAATATTATTAATTTATAATATAGTTTCTATTGATATATGTATTTATTGAAGTACTTGGTGTATATAATGCACAAAACTCACACTCAAATTTTATAACAAATTTTCGGGACACCCTGTATTTCGGATTATCAGTCACAAGTCAAGCGTCGGTTTTTGAAATTGTATATAATTTGAAAGCCACATAATCATAATGCAACACAAAGGAAGATTGTGGGGAATGTCATTATAGCAAATTAAGTTCCTTAAGTAAATAGGCTTTTAATATCGATTGAATAACTTGAATTACTGCGACAGTTTTTCTTATCGGTTAGCATGTATATTTTTAAACAAATTTTCCTTTTATGCTACCTACTGCAACATTACAGTTTTCGTTCATTTTTAACAGCGTTTTTTTTATTGGAGCTTTAATTATATTAATATGCATTGAAATATTGAAGTATACTTACCATTTTTAATTAGGTTTGGTGTATTTGAATGGTACAATGGATTTTCAATACTAGAAACAAATTGCAGGTAATTGTTACATTTGCATTGATGATAATCCTTGGAAAATGTTAAAAGATGATTTTTATCAACAAAAAATGTTTGGAAATATTTCGTCAGATTTATTATCTCCAGATAGATCCTGCTGAGAGAGATGACGCAGTGGTAATACAATTAGCCATTACAAGTGCCTTGTCTGGATAAATAGACATTTGATAACTTTTCTGTGAAATTTTAAGTGGTGATAATTTGTGCTATTTAAAACATATAAGGCCGCGATTACAATGGGAGTCTTTTCGCGAGGTTTGTTGGATCACTCAAACGTTAAGGTAAGTAAGTTTCAAGTTACTGTGACAATCTTAATTAATTATTAAGGCGTCACTATGTAGCCCAAATTTATTCATTCATTTATTCATTCCTTCTTCGATTTAATTTGCAGATACTTAAAGTATATTTTCTTAACAATAAATTAGTCGTAATTTCTAAAGATCCTTAAAAGTAGTAATGGACTTTTCGTAGTATGTAATCGGATTGATTTAGAAGTGTAAGATCTTATTATGGTAACAATACATTCTGTAGTAGCGCAAAATTATTTACTGAAGAATTATTTGAAAATCCGGGGTTTACATAATGTATCTACTTAAGACTCATATTTTCTTAAACTGTTTGAAAAACATTTGGTAATTAAATTATTGGTTTTACTAGCTTTGCAGGCACCGTGTTATTTCTTTTGATTTTAGAATATCATGGCGCTTCCAAAATTGCTAGTAACAGCAATTTTACTTGCCTTGGCAACAGCGGAGCCAGAATATAGATTGCCTACGTACGCCACACCCTCCAGTTATGTCATCGATATTGAGATCGATCCAGAGCAGGTTCAGTTTAATGGAACCGTCACCATCAACCTAGATGTGGATGGGGCAAATACAGATGCGGATATTCAAACTTTGCAACTTCACGCCGATCATGACCTAATAATGATAACAAAAGTAACGCTAAATGACAAAGACCAATGTACGGCTTCGGTTATTGACAACGTCACCGATATTGTTACGTTGAACTGCAACAAAAATCTTGATGGTATGCCCCGTGCTTCCAAAAATGTGCATTTTTAATAAAGCGTCATTGTTTAGGTAGTCAAGTTATTAAGATTGATTATGTGGGAAATTTATCAATCGACGATATGTATGGCCTTTATAGAAGTACGTACACTGAGGATGGCAAAAATAAAACCTTAGTGGCAACTCAGTTTGAGCAAACTTATGCGAGACGAGCTTGGCCGAATTTTGACGAGCCAAGATTCAAAGCCGATTGGACACTGACTGTTACTGCGCCAAAGAAATACACGGTCGTCTCGAATACGAAAATTCAAGATACAAATATCGTTGGGTAAGTTGGCTTTTGCTTCAACCTATTTGAAGCAAGAACTCATGTGTTCTAATTTCCTAGTATGTTTTATTTTAGAAAGTATCTTTTGTTAATTTAATTCGATTTATTACACATTCGCAAATACAGGGTATTTCAAAAGTAACTATTTTTAACAATCATAGCGAAACGCGAAATTACATTTTGACATTTACGGAATTCTCATTTGGAATTAAATACATGCATTGAAGGAACCCCACAAACTTTAATTCCAGGAAGTAAACTGGACTTCACAATTTTATTGTAGTTAACGAAAAATTAGCGCCAATAACTTTGACAAAATTGAAGAAAGGCGGACAAAAATATTAAAAACGTTGTAAATAAGTCATTTTTAAATTTTTTGACATCCCGTATATAACCAACCTTTTCTGGACCTACGCTGGTATGAACTTTATTTTAACGGGTATTTTCAACAACCAAGTTTAGGGTTTGAAAATAAAAGGCCAGCAACATTACAATCTTTTGCTATAGATTTACTAAAACAATCGTCTCGCGAATTGCAAAGGGATTTTCTGTTTACCTCCTAAACAAAGTCTAACAAGGTCTCAATTTCTTCATTTAAATTTTGCTCTTGAAACGATTCACAAAAACGTACTCCCTGTCAGTGACCTTGTAGCATTAAAACCTGAATAAGTTGATTTTTCTCAGTGTTCTCCACGTTTTACTTTGACTTCTTAGTAGGACATTTCGTTTTCCATTCGTAGTTTAGTACATTAATATCATCAAAACGTGTGATCCGACAAAAACGCTTCCTGATAAACAGCGATTAATTCAAAGGCAAAGAAAAGATAGAGTTCATAAACTACTCAGATAAGACTTATTCTAGGTTTATTATTATCTATTATAATAAAATAAAAACAAGTTATAATTAATAATAAAAAATGATATTTAAAAAAGTTAATTGAATTTCATGCTACAATTAGATACCATGTACTATTATTGTTTTTTGAGCTACCTTTGTGACATTCCTATATAATTTGTCACATTGATGCTGGTGATAGTTAATTACTGCAGAGCTTTTAAAAATTAATATGTTTGACAATAATACTGGTAAAATATTAGGATTAATCATAAACCTATACAATTATTTAGAAAGGTGAAAGTATTTAAGAGGCCGGACCGATAAAAACAGCCTTAGCAGCAAATTGATTTTTCAAAGAACCTTCCTCAGGCTACTGTAATACTATTTACAAAACTTCTGGATCCATCCTGTCCATCCATCTTCAGAGCTTAACTGAAACTGCAGTTCAGTTAATGATGAATGAATGATGATTGGCGAAACGTTAGCAAGCGCCGCAGCAGGAATCCAGAAGTATTGTAAATATTAGCAGCAAATTGTTTTTAATTGAATAAGTTTAATAAATATCAAATTATTTTAAATACTTCAAATTTTAAAATACAACCGACCGATTCAAAAATACCACAAAATCCTTTGACACTTTTGTCCTCTTCGTAGTATCCACGACACGACAACAGCTCCTCCAAATATTAAAATTAAAGCTGTATTTAAGCGACAATGACCTTCACATACACATACACCGTTATCTATTTTTCAGAGATGCAATGGTGACCAAATTTTCTAAGACGCCCGTCATGTCCTCATATCTCGTAGCATTAGTAGTGTCCGAATTCACGTCAATTAAATCCACAGTCAAAGAGGACTATGACTTTAGTGTTATCGCGAGGGTTAGTGCGGAAAATTACACAAAAACCGCTGTCAAATATGGACCGCTGCTGATCGACTTAATGGGCAACTGGACAAACATTTCATACACTGAGTTAGGAAACTCCAAACAGGACCTGGCCGCCATTCCTGACTTTTCAGCCGGCGCCATGGAGAACTGGGGATTAATTACCTACAGGGAAATCGATTTACTTGATGAAGATGACAAAACTACCAACTCCGCCAAGCAAACTGTGATAACGGTGATAGCTCACGAACTGGCCCATCAATGGTTCGGAGATTACGTGACAACTCAATGGTGGTCAGAGACGTGGCTTAACGAAGGTTTTGCTTCATATTTCGAATTTTTCAATGCCAATAACGTAAGTTTGGTGTTTCATTGTGGCCTGTGATTATACGCTCTCCAACTATTCAGCTTCCAAACGAATCTTTGGGATTGGATTATCAATTTGTTGTGAAAGTTCATCAATCTATTTTGCAAGTGGACGATGTGCCTTCAGCAGCGCCACTGTCCAGTAAGGATGCCGATGTGAATTCGCCTGCTGAAGCGGACAAAAAATTTGACGATATAACTTATGACAAAGGTAATTCTAAAACCTATTCATATTCATATTAGTAGCGTCATTCGAGGCAAATACTCAACCTTCTAGTGAAAAACCGTTATCTTTTCCATTAATTTTGTCATTTGAAAAATCATTATATTCAAAACAGAGTAAAATATCACTGGATATTCACAGGTGGAAGCGTTATTCGAATGATAAAATACGCCATAGGGGAAGAAGTATTCCAAGAAGGGTTGCGCAATTATCTAAAATCCAAGTAAGTATCCTTGGTCCTTTAAGACGGCGGTTACTTAATCAGTAAAAATATTTTAGCCGATATCAAGTAGTGAGTGCTCACGAACTGCTTAGTTCTTTGGACCCAAATTCTACAGATCTGGCTGAGAAATTGAGCTCGTGGATCTACGAACCAGGATATCCGATTTTGAAAGCCTCTCTTAACATGAATGGGTCGGTTGTTTTAGAGAATAATGTAAGGCTTTGAACTGGCTATAATGTTGCTTCCTTGTGGCAAGTCTACATCGTAATTTTTGCAGAAACGCTTCCTTAAAAATGCGGAAAAAGATACCAATCAAGAAAGCATATGGTACGTTCCAGTATCTTATACCAAATCGGGTAAACCAGATTTTATGAACCTGGACATCCAATGGCTCGCACCTAAGGAAACTTCCGTTATCGATCTCGACGATGGCGAATGGATATTATTTAACATACAATCCAGTGGTAAGTAATGCGGGCTGCTCAGTTCTAAGAACTGCTACACACATTTATAATGATTTTAGGATTCTACAGAGTCAATTACGATCAAGAATTGTGGTCTAGAATAATCTCGGTTCTAATGGAAAGTCCTGACCAGATTCACGTCTTAAACAGAGCCCAAGTTTTAGACGACATTTTCAACATTGCTAAAATTGGCGATATTGATTATAATACAACGTTTAAACTTTCCCGATACATTTCCAAGGAAACTGAGTACTACCCCCTATATACGTATTTAACGGAAATTAGTTATTTGTTGGGAAAACTACAAAGTGACGATACAAAAAATCAACTTGTGGTAGGATGCTTGTTACGTAAGTGTTATACGTGGATATAGAAGTTTTTATGTTTTCGCTAGGCGGAGGTTTTGATGCTTTTGGATGACGTCATAAATGAGGCCCTGACTAGTTCTTCGGAAAATTTAAGTCATGTGGAAGTTCTGAAGAAAGTTTTAATTTTAACTTGGGCTTCCAAGCTTGGACACTCGGACGCGCTTTCACTTGCCACACAACAATTTGAAAGTTATAAAAACGACACTAATAGGTGAGTAGCGCTGCGTCGCCATGACTTTTGCAAGCGTAACTTTTCGCTTTCAGCATCGTCGACAATAATTTAAGAAACATCATCTTCTGCTACGGATTGAAAAACAGCGCAAACGCCAATGACGATTTTGACTTTTTGTACAACGTTTATTTGGAATCGAACTCTCCGAATGAGAAAATTGACATTTTGAATTCTCTAGCGTGCGTAAAGGATAAAGACGTATTGAAAAAGTAAGTTAATAATAACGACTTGACACGAGATACAAAATTAGGATGCATTTTTAAGTTACTTGGCGAAAACCATCGACGATAATGCTGGAATACGAAAACAAGACGCACAAAGAGTATTCAGAGCTGTGTACAATGCGGGTCCAGAGGGAATTGACGTAGCCCTGGACTTTTTGAGCGCGAACGTTGACACAATTGTCGAAAAGTAAGTTTAGAATTATAATTTCTGCCACAACACAAAGTTATTTTGGACATATCTGAATATAGGTATAAAGGAATGTTAGCAATCGATTCTATTTTAACTGGTTTGGGATCCGTGATTGTTAAGGATGACAATATTAGCAAAGTAAGTATACAGCTATCACGGTTACGATAATAAAATTTTATGAAATATGCATTCTAGCTCCAAGCTATTATAACCGACAATTCTATGGTAGAGAGTATACAGGTTTCCGGCAAACAAGCATTGGATATAGCAAGTGCTAACAAAAAGTGGAGTGAAGAGCATGAGGGAGATGTCGCAGCAGCATTATTCGATGATTCTCCCTCTAGTGGTAATCTGATATCATCAGTTAGCCTCGTCTCTATCGCGAGTGTATTTATAGTAGCCTTTTTATTTTAAATTTGTAGAAATACTTTTGTACGAGCGAAAATGTAAAATATATATTTATAAAAAAGTTAGAGTAAAGTATATATGAAATTATAATTGTTGATAATTTAAAAAAAAAATAGCGATTAACAGTTGACTTTCTAAGTGAATGTAATCTATTCAGTAACAGACAGCAATGTTCATCATCATTGTCCAGATAGCGAATTTGTTATACAAATATTGGAAAAGTATAAGAAAAAATGCAAACGATGGTTCAAATCGTATTTGGAAAATAGGAAGCAGTGACAAAAAGTTATAGAATGGTTAATCAATCCTTCTCTGCAAATTGTTTATTAACGATTTGAACCAGTTGGAGAACAAAGACATGGTCAAATATGTAAACGATATTTCAGATTTGATTTTAAAACTCTAGAATTCATTACAGTAGTCGCAGATTGGTTCACAAAGAGCACCTAAAAATATTACGAGTATACTTGCATTTAGAACAAAATAATCAAGCGAAATAATACCAATGCAGGTGAATTTTGAAGAAGATAAAATTGATTCCCTAAAGGATGCTACATTTTTAGGCATTAATATTAATAAACGTCTTAATCAATCAATTCTATTTGCGATATTCGAGTTATTGCGAAGTATACGAACTAGGAGTCACTAGCGCCAATTTCGAAACAAAAAATGAACCATTTTGATCATAATGCTGCTTTATATATGAGTGTTTAGTCTTTATTTTTTACAATAACAACTTGTTTGATTGAAAGGCTAAACATGGTTATGGTACAAAATATATAGTCCATAGACTTTAACCCGGAAATCACATCAATTATATTACCAGTAAAAAGATTGTTAATAGATTTAGATTAAGCGACTTTTGTCCCAATTTTGAAATTATTTCGTTTTGCGTTTCTTTTGTTAAAATAAAATTATTTTAAACAACCAGTTTCCCAATTCCACTTTTTTTAAATATTAGGCTAGGCAATATGTGTAAATTACAGCATATAAAAAAAAATAGAATTTTAACGGATTGTTTCTATTTGCTGTATTAGGTACCATCGTTACATTAATGAAAAAAGAAAGAAATCCTTTTTATAAATGATTATTTATTATATTTTTTAAAAATTATGACAAATAAATCTCGCGATCGCCAGGATAAAATAAAAACAGAACTTTTTTTTGGAAAAATTTGGGTTTCATAATTTAACATTTCATTCGTTGTTTAATTTTTGAGGCGTAGGCTGAAAAGTTTTAATAAATTTGAAAGTTTGTTACGTGCTAGAGCAGGAATTTGTAATTACCGAGAAACAGCTTAGCATCGACCAGTCTTTTTTGCCCATAACTTTAGTTTGCTAAAGTTTGAAAACGCATTAAATTTGATATTAAATAAGGGATTACGAAAAAAGTTCTGGCCAATTTAGGCTATGAAATAGGATGCCACCGAAAAGCTTTTTCATAACCGGGTTGATGAAAACGGTGCACCTAGTAAAAAATATTTCACAATAAAGCGTAAATAGGAAGTGTATTCGACAAAAATTTTATTATGGAAGTCGAGTAAAAGTCATTCTCTGATATCGCTTCAAATGGCAGCTCTTTATTACCTCACACGGTGTTACAATTATGGACCTATAAAAACCAGAAATAAAGCAATATATATAGCTAGACGTAAAATTCGAAATTATATATTTTATAGTGTACAAGTCTTTGCGATTACATAAAAGCTTGAGGGCTGCATAAACCAAAGTCAAAATTCGATAACGTAAAAAGCCATTTAAAGATTCAAGTCGTATGTTTTATTCATTTTATGGTGAAGAAAATAAATGGCACTGTGATCAATTAAGTTGCCAAAAGTAGAGAGAATCAAATCAAAGCAACGATTAATTATCAACACGAAAAAAGTCAGTGTTTTGCATATATGTATACCAATTTTGCACTCTGCGGGATCCTCCTACGTTGATTGCAAAATATAGATGGGCATTTCCAATTTTACAAGGTGTATGTAATTTTTATAGAGCAGGAACATTTGACAAATTTTTACGTCACCTGTTTTCAAAAAAAGATAATAGTGATGAAGCTGTGAGAAACCCTCTGGGCTCAGAAAGAATTTTATAAAAAAATGTATATCACAAAGTCCCTTACAAATTACAATGATTAGGCATGCTACACTTGGGAAATCTAGCAGATTTTCTAACGGGTGCACAATCCGTTTCCATCTCATTGCTTATAAATAAACAGAATATATCCAGAGTCCTCATTGGAAACTTTTCGTTCATGTTATTGCAAATTTTAGAGGAATCACTTTATCAGTTATTTACCGGGATATCCGGTTCTATATCCTAAAAATATATATTTATATTTATAATAAACTTCAGTTATTTTCTCTCTAGGCTTATATTATTGATTACTGTATGTAATTTACTAGACTTAGATAATTAAAAGAGCTCGATAGAATAATATCTTATACTGTATATTTTAAGTGTACGATAATTCATCATCAAGAATAACGCTCATTTCCCACATCGGGGATTCATTGGTTAAATTCTGGAGCATGAGTTAAAATTATGGACTTCTGACTTGTCTCTTGAATTAATGGTGGTTTTTCGTTATTACTATTTTAGGAAAAAATACGAAGATAAGTGCAAACATTTATATTCACTCTTTAACTGAAAAAAAATTACATTACAATAAAACTACTGTAAAGTTCCAGAAGTAATCTGGTTTCTATAAAAAATTATAAGTAACTTTGCTTTTGTTATTTTCGAGATAATAATACCATAAGAAAAAATAATTGTCCCTGCCATTTGGCTTTGGTTTAATGCTATTTTAAAAACAAAATTAGTATATTCCTTTTTAAAGGTTTCGAGATCTAATATAGCTTCCTGAATATTTTTTATTTAGAAGTTGCTTACGCAACAACAATATAAAATAAATAATAAAACAATTATTTCTGAACAAAATTATCTTAAATTTATGTATTAAAAATATTTGCTATGGTACTTATGGTAGATCTTTGCTTACCTAAACAAGTTTTTGTTGGTTTTGTCTTAAAACACTAGAGGTAGCATAGAATATAGGATTGGTGCTCGTACCACCTTTTTATCTTTGGAAATCAGGGGATAAAATAATTAATTAATATATATGGGCACGGGGATTACCCTTTTTTAAAAAATACGAGTGTCGTTAATTTATTTGTTTCTACCACTAAAATTCGGTAAAACGTAAAAAAAGGAAATTGAAAATATTGTGATTTTTGATAAAAAATGGCAATATTATCCTTTTATGGTATACAACACACTTACCTTTCAGCCACTGTAAAAAAAAAATGTTTACTCAGAAAACACATGAGAAACGCGCCTGGGCTGCGTAAGACCTAAGCTTATCTCCGAGAAGAGCTTTACAGAATCCCTTCGCGAAAGCATCGAGACGCGGACTGATGACTGACGACGCTCGACGTCGCTCCTAACACGTGTCCTTCCAAACATGCGCACACAGATTTAATTACCTTTTCAATTTGTAAACGGCGCTTTTATGTGTTTACCGTACGCTATTAATTAAGTTGCCAGGAATGTTATAAAAATTTTATGTAATTTTTTTTTCTGTTTTACCATACATAGTTGTTAGAATACATTATCCTACTTTCGGTTGCAGTAAACATACTTTTCCACTTACTAGTAGAGCTTGAACTTTGATATTATCAATTCAGATATAAAAATGGCATCTTTTACTAAGTCCCTTCTTAAATGAAAATGAAATTAACTTTAATTTTTCACAATTTTTTACCCATATTTACATTACATTACAAAAAAAATTTCATGACGCTCAAGATATATTATCTAATAAAGAAATGGAACCGAAGCTAGCAGGAAATTTGTTACAAAAAAAATAAAAGGTTAAATTTGTTCAGATTTTTGGTATTGCATTCGAAATTAATTAAACTAAAATGTGAAATATACCAGCTACACGTGCACTGTGGGACTGAAGCTATAAGCTCAGAAATATATGCTTTATTTGCAAATACCACATTCAATAGAACATTAAATAAGTAGAGATACCTACATAGTAGTTAAACAAGGGAAAAGCTCATGAATTATTAGCAAATGAATATTAGTTTGTGAACTGAACAACATAAATCAAAAAATAAATACATAAAAATTTTAAGATTTAAGAGACTTTTAAAAATCAGAACAAACTATAGCCATCTTAACAACAAATTTTATGAGTTGTAATAAGAGTTTAACTATTTTTTAAATCTACTTGTTGGTTAGTTAAAACAGTTAAAAAGTTAAACAGTTCCCAGAGAGGTATAAGGTAATACAGGTGGTAATAAGAAAGAAAATCAGAAACGCCAAAGAGAAGGAAGCAAAAGAAAAGTGTGAAGAAATTGAAGCCTTACAACGAAAGCACGATAGCCACAATGTACATCGAAAGATCAAAAAAATGACTGGCGGATTCAAAAGAAAACAACAAGGAAATCTAACAGACAGTGAAGGAAACATCATACTGAACAAACAAGAAAAAATGAGATGCTGAAAAGAATACCTCGAGAAACTTTTTGAAGATCAAAGGAATAACCTTAATGTAAATAGATTAGAATCAGTAGAAGGACCTCAAATCTTAGATCAAGAAGTCCAATCAGCAATAAATCAGTTAAAAGATGGCAAAGCAACAGGCCCTGATAATGTACAGTCCGAATTCTTAAAACTCTTAGATCCGGAAGCAGTAACCTTGATCACTAAACTGTTCTATACAATCTATAACTCTGGTACAATACCATCAGAGTGCCTCAAGTCCGAATTTATTGCACTTTCTAAGAAACCAGGAGCCAAAAATTGCGAGGAATACTGTACGATCAGCCTCATGAGTCATCTTCTAAAACTCTTCCTCAAAATAATACACAAGAGAATCTACAATTTGTGTGAAAACCAAATATCACCCAACCAGTTTGACTTCATAAAAGCGGTTGGAACAAGAGAAGCCTCATTTTCAACTTATATTCCGAGAGGATATTTAACGAAGCCCCGTATGATATGGAAAAGGGCATATTACTAAATGGACTCCGATTAAACAACATAAGGTATGCAGACGATACAATTGTATTTGCCGACAACTTAAAGGATCTGCAAACCTTAATGGACAGCATTACCCATCATAGTCAACAGTATGGCCTTAACATCAATGTTAAGAAGACAAAAATGATGATAATAAGTAAGAATAAGATAACAGGAAGACAACTCTACATAAACCAAATTCCCATAGAAAGAGTAAAACAGTACAACTACCTTGGTACTATTATAAATGAAGAATGGACCAACAATTAAGAAATCAGAGCACTCATTGCAAACGCTAAGTCCACATTCAACCGAATGAGTGCATTCTTTAAGAGCCACAACTTATCTCTTGAGACCAAAATAAGAATGTTGCGTTGCTAAGTCTTTTCCATCCTCTTCTATGGTGTAGAATCATGGACCGTAAATGAAGATATGTGTAGCAAGTTAGAAGCGTTCGGCGTTCGAAATGTGGCTATACAGGCGAATATTAAAAATCCCGTGGACTCATCGTGTTACTAATGAAGAAGTACTTCAACGAATGAAAAAAGATCGAGAAATAATCAACACCATCAAAATACGCAAGCTACAGTACTTCGGTACTATATATATATATATATATATATATATATATATATATATATATATATATATATATATATATATATATATATATATATATATATATATATATTAGTCAAACCTTCCCACCCCAAGAGACCGTATGGGAGGTTTGCTTCAACTAATGCACTATAAAACATTTTTAGGCGTTTAATATCACAAAATTCCCTGTCATTCTTGAATATTGGGAGACTGGATTTGAATTATTTAATAAGTTTATCAGTGTTATACTTCCAAGTTATGTGCTTGTCCATGCAGATACCAAGGTATTTAACATAATCGGGGGAAACTATGTCGATAAACTCATTCAGTTCAGTTAGTCTTGGGTGTTGTCAAATTTGGCAAGGTACGCGAATCACAGCAGAGTGGGAGAAAAAAAGTTTTTGAAAAGCTTAAAGTTAGGTTTTTATAGCAAAAGTAATTGTACGACAATTTTAAGTCAATTTCGGCATCGTTTTGAAACACAGCCCATGATGCGTCCGTATAGAAAATCGTGGTACCATCTGGAAAACTCAAAATATTCCCATTTGAGTTTACACGAAACATATCGTTAATGTTCAAAACATAGGCAATTGGACCGAATAAAGTACCCTGTGAAACTCCATATTCAACTTTTCTTTCACAACTAAGCACTCCATCCTAAACAATATATTCTCTAATATTGTCCGTTAAGTGGGAACACGTCGGTAGATTTTTCGGCATATTGCTCGTTATATATGTTCCACTCTTCATTATTTAGCATTTTTATTGGAGTATTATAATTAGCGTAGAGTTTGATTCTTTGCAGTTCCACATTTCTTACTGCTTTGTTTGTTCTCTCTTGGAATAGAATGGGATAGTGATCTGTTACTTGTTGTTACTGTGTGAAACACATGTAATCGTATTATTGCAGATATAAATCCGTTTTCATATAATGCATTAAGGTATTCAAGTGAGTCTATAGAATTTGAGAAAAAATATATATTTATACCCCCCCCCCCATTATAGCTACATCACTTGGGCAGATATTTACGGCAGTGATTTAACTAATTTGCAAAGGCAAGTGACGGCGTTCTATAAATACAGAGGATATGAAACAACTTACCTCCATTGTCACTCACCACATTCTCAATGCATTTAAGGGTATCCATTAAAACAATTTTTGAAGCCTAGTTAAGTTTATTTTTGATGAAAATATGACTCTGTTATTCTTCTTCAGTTGACCCTCGTTACATATAAAATCATAACAGTGAATATTAAAAATATTGGTATTACTTTGTTTAAATGTTTCTGCGAGGACAGAAACCAAAAAATATTTTAAAATTCTAGTTCTAGTTCTTAACAATTAAAACGAGTTGGCATATTCACTGTATATGTATATATATTTTTTAAATGAAACATATATATTTTTAAATGAGATTTTATTTTTGACTTGTAGATATGGATCTTGCTTTAACTTCATTTCGTGTAACGGCAGTTTGCCACTCCAACACCCGATAATTTACAAGACTCAAAATATGAAAGAAAATAAAACGATACATCCACGACCCAGACTGTCATTATCACATTAAAAATACGTTATTTCAAAAGTTTGTATTCCTCTTTTCCATACAAAATATGCATACCTTACTTGGTGGCACACTACGAGAAATCCAATTTTCTTTGTATATATTTCCTACAAATCTCTGAACTTTCATCGTACCACTTTCACACGATCTTTATACTAGAAAACTTCCACCCACACATATATAGATATATTTGCTATTTAAAGTTAAAATATTCAGAATTGATTTGGTAAATGCTTTCATCTTTTTGACAATTAATTATATTTATTATATCCGGCATTTAGTAGTTAGGTACATAAAGCAAATGGTAGGCACGCATATTATTTTCATTTACTTGACTTTTCTAACCATTGGTCTATACTTTTAGTTTTTTAAGCAAATACAGTTTAAAGCTAAACTCCTATATTTCACTTTAATCCGAGTTCAATTGATGCAATTACGCTCCAGCTGAAGCGAAAGCAAAAAGCTACATATAATCATAGTAGTTTACTCGACGAGTCTTTCAAAAAAAGTGGGTTATTATTTTTCAAATTACATATATTATAAAATTATAGAAATTAGTATATTAAAAATAGAGGTATTATCGGCAGAATACAAAATTCTATTATGAAAAAGATTTTGTATATATTGCAAATATGCATTTGTTTGAGTCCTTAGGTAACCTTACCGATTCGCTAGGAACCCCTCAGTAGACATTACTCAGAAGTCGTGCATTAATTTTTTTTACAGAATTAAAGTTCAATGTTGAACAGACGCAAATTCTTCCTCGGGTAATATGTATCCTGTCCAACAAATGGTGAAAAAATTTCTTATAACTGAGTACAAATCAACACAACTAGAAAAGACTTAATCCCATGAAGACTGGATCAAAATTACGGAAGCTGGTCCGGTTGAACTAATTATTAAATGGATAACTCAATCGATGAAATATTTATTAACGTACAGGCTGGTTGCAATATTGGCTTGTGTTGTTTTAAATTATTTGGGAGAAACACCAAGAACACGCATATAAAATTAAAAAGCTATAGGGTTGAAATTGGGAGCCAAAACTTCCCACCATGCCAACAGATTTGCGAGCTTTCAATTCATTTTCGGCTTCTTCCCGTTCCAATTCTTCGGTTGTCGTAATAGGATCATCATGCTCAATTTCCTTTTCTTCCAACACAATATCATCATCAGATTCGTCCTCGTCTTCCGGATACATCTCATCTCCAATATCTTCAGTATAGTTTGATTCTAGTTCAAAAAAAAAATAGTCCAAAAAATGTAGACATAAACGTATTAATTACGGTATCGTTAAAAGTTTTTCGTTATTTTTTTTTTTAATTTACCTCCCTGAAAGGTGATGAACTCTAAAGACGCTTAGTTCGACTTACCCCTCGTGTATCTGAAGTGTCTTCCATTATTTTCGGATGAATAATAAACGAGCACTTCATTATCATATTGATGGTTTACGTCAACGTAACCTGAAAGTTTCGCAAACAGACTGTGTAATAATAACCCATTTGTATTAATATTTCGTCGAACGAGCTTACTAAACTTTCCAGGGCGCTGAAGTAGATATCTTCTCAGGATTAATTCGTCATTTTCGATAAAGGTCCGACAGCTACAGTTTTCCTCGTTATAAACATTTGCGCAGCTAAAACGCATTTTTATCATTTGCTTTAATATGGAATGGGTGCCTTGAAGGGGTACAGAGTGTCCGATTTTAGATATTTTGAGCACCCTTAGCACTTATCAAAAAAGCGAACACTGATGTGAGTTTTAAGTTGATTTCCGTAACCATTTTATTTTGATGCGATTACATTTGAATTGTCAGCTGTGTGGGTCATTTGATCTTTTAGTTGGATGTCATAAAGAATTAATAAAAATTCGTACACTTAAATTAATCTTTGTGTAATTTAACGGTTCAGTCAAAATTTATATTTTTTGCTTTTTAGTGACGAAATATGATCCTCTACAATGCAAAGACTAATAAAAAAAATAACATTATTGCACCTTGTACACAATTATATAATTATTATTTAAGGAACCACAATACATATTTTGGTCGTTCTAAATTAATAAATATTAACCAAATTGTCAAAATAAGAACTAAAGTGTTTCCAAAATTAACAAATTCTTATTTTAATACTCTTCAATAACAAATATTAGAGTTATATAAATAGAGACAAAACTTGTGGATATGTTATTGTTTACAGCTTCTAATTAAAGTCTTTACCTGTGGCAATTTGTACTTGAGACATAATATACAATAAAGTCATTGTTGTGGTCAAATTTTCATTAAATAATTTTAAAATAATTGTGTTGTTTTAAAATTCAAACGGATTACAAGAGACAAATCACTTCGCTTGCCACGGCTTCTTTTTGTAATAATACCACTATTTTTTTTTTTAAAGAAACTTCCACAGGCTACTCTAATACGTTTCATAAAACTTCTGGATTCCTCCCGCGTCGGTTTATGTTGAGTCGAACTAGCTAACGTTTCACCAATCATCCTGTTGGCTTCCTTAGAGCTTGACTGAAACTGGCTCGCATTTTACTCTGTTTATATTGTTTGAGGGGGGTGGAGCTAAATGAGGGGCATAAACACCGTCTCAGATGACTGATTCCCATATTAGTGACACGTGCTTATAGATTTCTATAGACTCACGTTGGTAGAGGAATTGATAACATGAAAGAATTTTACCCCATCGACCGACTTTCAGCACCATTGGTTCTACAACATATTCTCTAGGAAAATTTCTAGCTTCCTTTACAGGGAAAACTGACAGTTTCGTACTTAATTCCTTTCACTTCATTGAACAAATGAAAAGCATTACATCAGATACACAAGATATTCTGGTTAGTTTCGACGTTGAATCCCTCTTTATTAAAGTTCCTATTCCTGAAACCCTCACCATCATTTCAGATGTATTAAAATCCGAGAATCTGGAACCACCTTAATTGAAAAATGCTTGCCTGGAACATGTTTTTCTCTAAAACAGGATGATTGGCGAAACGTCAGCAATTTCGACTCAACAAAAACCGACGCAGAAGGAATCCAGAAGTTTTATAAAAAGTACCACTATAAAATATGAATTACATTGTTGACATCTACAGACAACGAAGTATATATTTGTACAAGCTTTAAATCAGTCTTAATAGAATAAAGAAAATATATTGCACTAAATTTAAAAAAATGTCATACAACTAATTAGGCGAACGAAATCAACGCAACAGACTGTTGTGTGAAGTTTCAAAAATCGCCTAAGGTATAAAAAATTAAGAAGGCAGAAAGTAGTTTAGAATTGGGCAAACGCTAACTTTTCGTTCCCAAATCAGGCGCTCTGTACACCAACATTATTACATACCATTTACTTCCTGGTCCTAGGCAATCGAACACCCCCGTTTTCCTAAAAATGTTGGTACATTAATTTGACATCAGATCAATATACGAGCAATTTTTCACTTTAGTCAACTATTAAAATTCTTTTAAAAACTGAACCAGACTTTTGGCCTAATAATTGGTACTCTAGTCATGTGTTCAAGAATAAAAATTCTAACTTGACCAGTTTGAATACAATATATCCTGGACGTATTCGAAGTACCAGCCTAATCAAAGTACGTTCATGCCTTAAGGCTGTATATCGAACTAAAACGTGGACTTGAAATCAGGCGGGAAACTTTCCAGGCCGTTGACGAAGGAAATGATTCAATTTTATTCTAGTCGAGCACATTTAATTCGACCTATTGCAACAAAACCGTCTGGCGAAACATACATAAATGGGTCGACACAAAACGCCTTTTGTATAATCTCGCCGTCGTAATTTTTAACGCCGGCGCCTAAAAGCTCTCCATCTCCTCGCTCCAGAACTTCCTGCTGCCACGGCGTCCAAGAAGAAGTTATTGCAGGAACCGCGCTTGTCCCCGTTTCGTTGGAGCTCTCACAGAACTGCGGCGGGCACATACAAAGTCGTGATTTATTAAGGGATGGTTGTACGTTTGCAAAGTAGGTTTTTACCGGCCCCTTGCAGTTACAGTGCACACTATGCACCGCGCCCTCGATTGTGGTGACCCCGCAGGGGCTAAGCCCGCACACGTTGTACTTACACAGGCTGTCCGGCAATGGTGGAATATAGCATGTCGGTAGACCTGCCGAACAAAGTGTGGGGATCGTTTCAAAAATTTTAGTTAATTTCTTATGTCACTTTGTGTCTCATTCAACATAATCTGCTAAACTAATAAACGTCTACAAGATTAACTAAATATGTGCCACTGATATCCGAAGACGCAAAACTGTAAAAATCTGTTATGTATGATTCTTCCATCCAGATCATAAAAAACACTATATTTTTTTGACAGTTTTGGTTCCTAGCCGTGCTTCTCAATATCAATACTCTAAGATTCTTTGAAGATAGCTACAAAGGCTGCTGCTATGGATAACTTTTAATGTAAATCTATTACATAAATTTATTTATTATATGTTATAAATTTCTCAAAGAAACTTCGACAGGCTACTGTATTACTTTTTACAAAACTTCTGAATTCGTCCCACGTCGGTTTTTGTTGAGTCGAACTTGCAACAGTCAAGCAACAATTTTCTTAATATGTCCCATCATGTCAAAACCTCATCCGATTATAAAAGTCTTCGAAAAGCTAGTTTCGCTTTACTTGGAGAAAGAATTCATCATACCTGTAAGGAAATAGACCAAATCAATAAGACTCTGCTGTCTCTACATCTTGAAATTGCTTCCATCTTGTCCCCACCCGAGTTCGATACCCTTTCAAACATGATTCAGGACAAAGCTTTAAATCTTCGTTTACCTTCTACCTAAAACCAAATTCAGAAATTTGAAAAACTAACGTCAACACTAGGGAAACCATCTAACTCTTCTCAATTACCTAACACTGTAATAAATGTATAATCGCACCAACTTTCGGAAACGGAAAAATCAGTTCTTTCAAAAGATTCCAACTTCGTTCTTGCCCCATGTACTATCCCAAAAGAGGAAATCATTTCAAATTTCGAGTCTATCCTAAACAAACTCCCATCTCTAACAGTTAATGAAATTCGATTTGAAACCGCAAAAAATCAAAACCTCCTAAATCTAATATTTAAAAGCCTGAACGCATTGCTCTAAAATCTCTAAAATCTAATCCCGATGTCGTAATTCTAAAAGCAGATAAAGGAAATGCGACGGTGATCATGAACACAAATAAATATCAGGAAAATATTCAAGATATTCTTACAGACGGATCATATTGTCAACTTAAAAAAGATCTTACGTCATCTATTGAACACAACCTTAAATCTGTTCTTAAGGCTTCTTCTCTATCAGACTCCGTAAAGAAATCTGTCACCCCTCATGCCTCTAAAATTCCTATTCCTTAAACTCTCAACATCATTACAGATATTTTAAAATCCGAGAATCCGGAACCACACCTTCTCACCTTAATTGAAAAATGCTTGTCTGGAACATATTTTTCTTATACCTGTCAAATTTTTGAACAAACGTCGGGAACAGCTATGGGTTATCCAGTATCACCAGTCATCGCGAATATATTTATGGCAGCCTTTGAAAAGAAAGCTTTCGACACCTTCCATCTAAAACCAAACTTATGGAAACGCTATGTCGATGATACTTTTGTTATTTAGCCTCATGGTCAAGAATCCCTAGTAGATTGTCTTAGACATAACTCTATACACCGTAACATATCGTAACATACCTCCCATTCTTAGATATTCTTGTGATTCCAGAAAACCTAACAGACCAATAAAAAAAATCGTCGGTTATCGACTCTCTCGTTTACAGAGCCGTAAAACTATCTCAGCCCGAATCACTGAACCTAGAATTAAAACACCTTACCTCTGCTCTTCTCGCTAATAATTTCCACATTAAAGATATTAAGCATTCCATCACAAAATACACTACACCACAACAGTCCATTAGCAATGAGGCACTTGCCACGGTTGTCCTTCCTTACATTCAAAACATCATCGACCAAATATCAGTTCTAAAGAAATATAACCTCAAAACCAGATTTACCGCTTGTCCAAAATTCTTCAAACATCTTCGATCTGTTAAGGACAAAATTCCATGTTAGATGCCATGAGTTTACAGCATTTATTACCCTCATTTAGCTCCGCTCCCCTTAAACAATATATAAGCAGGTAAAGATTAAAATGCCAGCCCGCTTCAGTCAAGCTCTGAAGAAGCCAACATGATGATTGGCGAAACATTAGCAAGTTCGACTCAACAAAAACCGACGCAAGAGGAATTCTGAAGTTTTGTAAAAAGTGTTAAAAAATTTTTTACTATAAATTCTTTATCAGAGTTGTTCATAACTTTCATATTTGCCCGTTGTACTTTTCTGTAATTTTAATATAAATTATATTTGTCGAGTACATTGTTGGTACATAGAGCGAGTACTACTACTCTATAATTATATTTATTTTTGCTTATTCCCAAACGAAAGACCTAATGCCGACAACAAAATGAAATTATTCCAGGATGGCAATAAACAATGCAAACTTTGCTATAATGGGTCTTATAGCCATCAGTTATTTCTCTTGGCTCATGTTAAAATGAAGATGATGGAGAAAGCTGAAGTTCTATCCATGCGCAGGCGGTAATTAAGTTCATTAACTACACTAGGGAAGGTAAAGGGTATATCAATTTTCCTGAAAATAACAGTGAAAGGAAGCTGCCGATTTTTTTTTTTTCTCATTTTGTTTGTGTCTCTTATTTTTGAAACTAGGGATTCAGCTTTCATTATTTATTGATTTTTATTTCTTTCAAGAAAATTCAATTTTTCATTAATTGAATTCATCAAGAAAAATTATGAGTAAATTGATGATTCAAAAAGCTAACGAAAAATAATATTACACATTATTTAAGACCGATTATAAACTAGCAGACCGAGCGTGGATGCGAAGTGTAATCAACTTTTGGCATGTGCTCTCTAAAAAACGTTTTAACGGATAGAGAGCACAAACTTCGACATTAAATTCTGAACATATTTACATACCTCACACGTTTGCGTCGAATTGAAAGCTAAAAGGCCAACGCAGGCGGTGGTGATTAAAATAGATCTTGCTGTCTCTGCGTTTTCTGGGGCACAAGATTCCATTGAAAAAAAACCACCTCGGGCCTATATCACGCGCTTCCTTTGTGCGAAAGGTAATGCATAAGATGACAAAGATATACGTTTCCTTTGTAAGGCATGTATGTAGGTCCTCATGCTTCATGAGAAACTCGGTATCATCTTAATTACCACCGATTTAAGTATATTTTATATTAAAATTTTCCTATAGGGTGTTCGTGTTCGCTACAGAATTTTTGAAAGAAATTTTCATTGTAGCTTTATTGTATGTATAAAATAATAAAAATATATATGTAGCAAAAGTAACTAAAACTACAATGTAAGGAAAAATAACTGCTAACAAAATTAATCAAGAATTTGATTAAAGTGCGATTTCATTTTGTGAGAAAATTATAGTCAGCTTATGATACATCATTGAAAGGAGATTTTCATACTGAATAAAAAATGTGAATTAATTAAACATTTGCAAATTTTAAATCTGGCCTATTATTTTTAGCATTAATTTGTTAATTGGACACATACACACACAAAATTGGACAAGAAATTGCAACAATGACTTCAATCAGGGATAACCATATAGCTATTAAATAATATGACGGCTCTAATACGGTAAATATTCATGCGCTACAAGTGGCTAAGATATTTTTATACATTTGGGAATGATTATCGGCGCATACGTCAGCTCCCAACTGACCGAGTTGCCACATCATAATAATTTTTTTGGAAAAGTGATTTATTTTTATAAAATCGCATATAAGTCTCTAAAATCCGGACATTATTGGCAACGTTATTGTTATTGTCACAGAATACAAGTAGTGCCATTGTTTTCATTTTTGGAGTTTGGTGATTATCTCCCTACCTATTTCGTGTTTTGTGGCAAAAATGTCCGCCTACTTGAAAACTTCTTGGGTTTGCGGTCAAAACTAAGGAAACAAATACATATGTAAATATACGTAAGTTTCTTTCAAAGATTTAACAGTGCTTTTAATGTTCTTTTGGTTAGTTTCGTTTAATCTGTTAGTTTACTACGTATTTTAATGTATAACCTTTGCAATTTTTTTTCTTCTAAGTTTTCTAGTCTTTAAAAATAAAAATATATATATAACTAAAGTTACCATCACACAACGATACGTTTTGTATTTGATTTGATTTAGAGAGAAAAATATATGTTTCACCTACCCACAACTTTCTCCATGTCCTCTTCAAATAAGGTAGGTATACATTGACAATCCTTGTTTTTCACCAATATATTGAAATCGCAAAATCTTCTGTGGACTCGAGCGTGGTATCTGTTCTGACCCAACTCAAATACACATTTCCTCTTCCTTACCTTAGTTAATTCGTTTGTGCACAACTGCCATTCCGCTAGAGTATCTTGGTGACAGATTCCCAGAAAATAATTTTGTACTTTACGGTCTTCAACAAAAATCTATAAGAACTTTATTTGACAGATAGACGTGCCGGCTAAAATTACCGCGAAATAATTCAGGCCGATTCCAACGAAAACGCAGATCTGTAGGTTTAAATTTGTGACGTACTTGTAAACATTATAGTGTGATATATTACGAATATTCTCTTCTAAATCCGAAACTAAGCCCTCGAAGCAGCTTGTCGTTAGTAGCACAACCGTCAGTATTTGAAACATTGTAATTTGACAAACATTTGACTTACTATGTATCAGTTCTCCATGGTCTCTGATCATTAATGGGTAGACCACACATGCAATTATTTTAGTCAAAGGAATATTTGGTTAACGGATTGAACTATTTCTTTGTAATACTTTGAATATCACTTAAATATAATTTAAGATCTTCTGCGCAATTGAGCTATTAGTGTTTTTAAACGTCTTCAGAAAATGAAGTGGCGTCTCATGCCTTGGCTATGTTTCCGTTACCAACTTTTAGTCAAAGGAGTTCCTGCTGCAGAAAGTTACGCCACAGGCGTTACAGCGATAACTGAAGTTTCAATTTATTTTAAAAGCAACGCAAGCATATCTTAAGAGGGATTTTTCTTTTGACATTGATCGCAATATTTTTTCTTTTGTTTTAATTCATTTTGACTGTGACTGCGGACTTTCTTTTAATATTGACATACGTACTTGAACTTTATCTCGGTCTTTTTTTAAGAATTTTCCCGACAAACTCATCTCTCCGATATTAAATCCTCGTCGACGAAGTTGCAGGACGATCGGAAATTAAAGAAAGAAATCCAAAACGAATACTGACAAATCGGCAAAGGATTACTTGGAGGATTTAAAATGGTCGCGATTAGTTTTTGATAAGGATGCTAACCGCAGTAAGTACATATGATATAAGTTGAAATTAGAAACCCTTGAAGGATGCTAACCGCAGTAAGTACATCTGATATAAGTTGAAATTAGAAACCCTTGAAATTGACTTTAAAAAAATTCTTGATGGAACTTTGTAAAGACTAACAAAAATTGAAGGATAACAAATAGTATAAAATTAAAATCACAAAATAATAGTGACAAACAAGAAGAAAAATACCGTTATTAAAAAATTCCTCTAATGAATAATTTTGTATATAAAACTTTTCACAACTTGTATACGCTACTTTGTTATTAGCCAAATCCTGTATATGGACATGGATAAAATAAATAAGTAAATCAAACAAAAACAAACCAAAAATTATATTCCGATCACCACGGGGTAAAAGTAATTTTGGTTGAAATACAATTTTTTAGTCTCTGTTTTGGCACCCAAAATGTTGCTCGCATAACTCAATTTAACTGTAAAGTTATAATAAATTATCGGCTTGCCTGCTAAAGAAAATGATACATAGATACATTGGTAAAGCGTGGTTAAATGTTTCTTGAAATATTTGACATTGTACTTAGATCTACGAAAAAATTCTTTATAATTTTATGATACAAGAATAAAGATACGTTGAAAAATCATTATGAAAGTATGACAAATTTATTTTAACTGTTTTAATTTAAAGCTTTAAATATCCATTAAAAATAAAGTTACTGTGCATTAACAAAAATCATCGGTTAAACATTGTTAAGCGTTCAATGCATAGATAAGTATCTATCAGAATAATCTATTCAGAAATAAAGAATTTACAGGTTTATAAAATTTTCTCAAATATATATATATATATATATATATATATATATATATATATATATATATATATATATATATATATATATATATATATATATATATATATATATATATATATATATATATATATATATATATATATATATATATATATATATATATATATATATATATATATACAGTGTGTCCAAGATAAGGATGCACAGCATGGGGATCTCGGAAACTATAAGAGATACAGTGTCGGTTAAATTAGACAAAAGTTGCGCATTTTGATACCGAACAAGATCCCGTTTTACAAATTTGAAAATTCCAAGCCGTTCCGGAAATATCCGAGAAAAACCGAAATATTGCGATTTCGTTTTTATTATTTTTTAAAGCTATTTGAAAAGATACGAAAAAACGGAAAACACTTTTCCATTGGCACTTTTTAATCTCTCCAAATTGACGTTAACAAATTTTCATTACAGCGTTTCGATTCCATGGAACCACCATCAACTTTGATTTTTCTTATGGGACGGAAAAAAAGTACACACAGTATTAGGTTGTGCTTTTCATTGCGAATTCAACGATGTACGATACAATACGGTTACTTATGTTTTTATCCAGAAAAATGGCTTTTTAATACATTTCTAGTATTTTATTGTAGTAGGCCATGAGATCCGAACGATGAAAGGCAAAAGAAAATGGTTGACAAGTTCGAGTTAATGTGTTTATTTATTTACTAACTCTAACTGTTCATTTAACATAACAACTAAATCCAACAAGTTAATGAAAAACAAATTCTATAACAAATGTTCGAATAAATGACCTCCATTTTCTAGGCATAAGTACGCCCGTCTCACGGTAGACTCCAAAACACGACTTAACATTTCAGGAGTAATTTTATTAAACGCTGCTCGTACTGATTGACGTAATTGTTCCTCGTTGTCAAAACATTCTTTGAATACCTCATTTTTTATGTAGCCCCATAAGAAAAAGTCCAAGGGAGTTAAGTCCGGGGACCTTGGAGGCCAAGGTGTTTCACTGTAAGTCCCAATGTATTTTCCATCAAACCGTTCAGTTAAATATTGGCGAACTTCTCTGGAGTTATGGGCTGGGGCACCATCTTGTTGGAACCAGCAGCCTTGCACAGCGCCTAGCGGTAAATCATCTAAGGCATCTTCTAAATCGTGCCTCAAGATGTCAAGGTACCGCTCGGAAGTTAAGGAATTATTATAGAAAATAGGGCCTATAATCTTGCTACCAAAAATCCCACACCAAATATTAAACCCAAAGCGAACTTGATGTCTGGATAGTCTATTAACACGTGGATTTTGTTGCGACCAATAGTGTGTATTGCGCCTGTTATAAATACCGTTATTGGTCACCATACTTTCATCAGACCAAATCACTTTATATGGAAAATTAAAACTCTCATCACACATCCTGGTATACCACTCACAAAAATGTCTACGTCGTTCGTCGTCACCCGGTTTTAATCCTTGACATATTCTGAATTTGTAAGGCTTAAATTCATTTTTCCTTAAAATAAACTGAGCTGTAGATTTAGCTACCCCATTCTGGTCTTCAATTTCTCTGGTAGAAGTTTGTGGATTTTCGATAACAGATTGTAGAACAATGTATTGGTTTTCTTCATTGGAAGGTTTTTGTCGGGATAATGCAGGCTTCTTAAATGATCCATATTCTTTCAGATTAAATAACAAACGCCGAAAAATACTCTTGTCAGGTTGTCTCCGCTCTGGGTATTTGTTAGAATACATACGCTCGGCTTCCACACAATTTCTTTGGCATCAGATGTAGCAAGACAGCATATCACATTTTTCTTCGTTTGTAAAATTACCTCCCTCCATTGTAGAACAAAATAAATTAGAAAAAGACAACAACAATAAAAATACAAAAATAATAACTAAAGGAATAAACTTATGATCGACTGATAACAAAGACAAATAACATTAATGTGTCATTGAAATTGACTGGATGTCATTTTGTCATGGCCTACTCCATTTAAATGCTGAAATGTATTAAAAATCCATTTTTCTGGATAAAAACATAAGTAACCATATTGTATCGTACATCGTTGAATTCGCAATGAAAAGCACAACCTAATACTGTGTGTACTTTTTTTCCGTCCCATAAGAAAAATCAAAGTTGATGGTGGTTCCATGGAATCGAAACGCTGTAATGAAAATTTGTTAACGTCAATTTGGAGAGATTAAAAAGTGCCAATGGAAAAGTGTTTTCCGTTTTTTCATATCTTTTCAAATAGCTTTAAAAAATAATAAAAACGAAATCGCAATATTTCGGTTTTTCTCGGATATTTCCGGAACGGCTTGGAATTTTCAAATTTGTAAAACGGGATCTTGTTCGGTATCAAAATGCGCAACTTTTGTCTAATTTAACCGACACTGTATCTCTTATAGTTTCCGAGATCCCCATGCTGTGCATCCTTATCTTGGACACACTGTATATATATATATATATATATATATATATATATATATATATATATATATATATATATATATATATATATATATATATATATACATCTTTTAACCATTTTAACAGCTAGTTCCCCGTGACGCCTTGAAAGGCATTCTTCGTAATATTTTACTTCGCCGTGTCTCTAAAAATTTATTTAAACTTCATGTAGTTAGCTTCAGTTTATGTTTATGTTTAGGATCAGAAATAAATTAAAACTAAATCTGTTATCTCTAGAAATAAAATATTTTCTATTCATGCTGATCATGCAAACCACACCCAAAGGTTAAAAAGATTAAAAAGTTACATTTAGGTAGGATTTGTATAAAAATAGATATGTACAAATTAATTTCTGGATCAAACTGCATGAAATATGCAAATATGCAGGAAAGTAACTAACAGTTTGAAATATAAAATATTGTACATAATTTAGACAATTTTTACAGGCATTTACAGTTTGATAATTTAAAACTTGCTACCGAAATAACCTTGAATTTCATTTTATTAAATATTTTTGTTCACTTTATTTCACTTATATGTGTTTTTGTTTCTTGAGAAATGTAAATTTTGTTAACTAACTTGGAGGTTTTTAAAAAAATATATATAAAAATCATTTCCCGACTAGTGCTTGCAGTTTTACATATTATAATTATCAATTTTATTAGATTTTTTGTCCAAAATATTTTTAAAACTTACTGCTTATTCTCGCTATAGAGATATGAAATTTTTGTTTTTATTTTCAAATTTGAACTGAACATTAACAAATACCGTCCGAACTGGTTCAAATAATAACTAGATAAACGAGATGCGTACAAAAAGGGTTAATGAAATTGGAAATGAAAAAGATTCTATGAAATTTATAACAGTATTGTTAAATGTTACTATTTAGATAACAACTATAAAGTTGAAGTTTGATTTTGACATTCGGTCAAAAAGAATACCGCTCCTATAACTTTAATGAGTGTTCTCGCCAAAAAGTTGCATGCATTAAAATATCTTAGTTAGTAGTAAGGCTCTGACTTTTATAGAAACGAATATAATAAAGATTCTCGATAAAAAATTATCATCCTCTACT